ACTGCTTGTATCAGTACATCTACACAAGCATGAGTTTAGTCTCATTGTCAATCATGCGTACTAACCTATACATGCACACACACACACTTGCACACACATGCATGCACACACCTCTCAATGACCACTTGCTAATAAAGTTCAACCTCTGACATTCAGGGTTCAGAAGACACCATTAGAGACATTGGATTACAATCTCCTCTCCCCATCTCCACTTTCTTTCTCGTATAACACACACATTACAAAATTACACTTTAGTTATTTTGGGGGTTTTTCTGCAAGTTGGAGAGGTGCTCTTAACACGTTGACATAAAAAAAGGCATTATTTTCACTTAAGCTGAAGCAAAGTGGTGTTACTGTGCACTGCTGTTAATTTCAAAAGGTCACATATATCACAGTTAGAATGAGGATTGACCTAGTTCACAGGTATTTTATAAGGACAGAAAAGGAAAGGAATTTTTTGTTGCATTATTATTATCTATTAGGATGCTCAACAGTTCCAAATATTAGCACAGATGAGAAATCTTGGAGGAAGATTATTAATAATTAATATTATTTTTTTTGTTTTGTTTTCGTTGTGTATATCTCTTAAAAATGAATTAACCCTGAAGATCTCATCCCGCGACATAGAAAAGTGATGGGTGGGTGAACATGTCAAAATTGAGGAAATGACGTCACGACGTCAAGGCTCTCGGGACACTTATTGTGAAAAACCTTAACGGAAGTACATCCGGCGCCGATGGCGGAGCTCGGGCTAACCACGACAGGTTGAAAAAAACTATCCGCCACGTCCGGTATTATCTAAGACCTCCGTCAGCTCTTTGTGAAAGGTATTTATTTATTGTGCAATGAACACGCAAAAGGTACGAGCGTCCGTTATGCCTTCGGTGTTACCGGTAAACGTCTACAGCTAACATTAGCCAGCTACGTAGCCACTCAAAATGGCCGGTGTGTGTTAGGGGTCTACGCAGGGCAGCGCCGCATTCTACAGCGGACCTGGTGATTTTAACATAAGATAAATTTATTGAAATTATATTTGAGGTGTTATAGATATTTAATTGTGTGGTTAAGATGAAGTGGTGACTTTGTATTTAGCTGTTTGGGAAGTCGTATGCAAATGAGGGTGTGATCTAAAATCCCCTCCCATTAAACACTCGGATCTCTGTTATGGTAGCTTGTGTATCATCATCACATGCTCGTGTCCATTCCGCAGGGCCATCGTGGAGCTGCTGTAATTCCGTGTATCTGGGTTTTACGTGCATGTTAAAGAACGTAGGAATATTTATGCACATGTTTGAGAGGCGTAAGCATAAATCAAAGCAGAATATCAGCGTCACACAGTAAAACAAAAAGTTCGTTCCGAGCGGATGTTGTGATGATACTTTTTGTGTCGGTGTGCACATAATGTGAGAAATGTGAAAAACATTCACCCCAGTGCTGGATCTTCCTCAACATATTTGGCTGGAAGTCAATAAAAAGCTGATCCATGACTCCAATCACATTCTGGCTGATAAAGTGAGGCCTCTCTTATTCAAGGTGTATCTTTCACGTTGGCATTAGGCCTCATTGCTACAAAGTAGTGTCTGTCCTGCTTTGACAGTGTTTCAGTTAGTGCCTTTTTTGTGTGTGTAGTGATCTCAGCTGACAGCCCTGTTTGCTCTCGGCCATTTCATAACTTGCTTCAACTGTTTGGCTTGTGGAAACTGCAGCCAATGGAAAAAGGTCTAGTCTATGCCAGGTCAAGCGTACCAAAGCTGCAAAGTAGAGACTACTGAGACCCACTGCTGTCTGTCCGTAGGATGTGGGCCTAATGAGAGGGCAGGTTAATGTATATTCACCCCCAAAAAAAGATTGTGCCGAATTGCAAAGTTACTCCGGATCCAAAATGCCTCGCCAAATATACTCACACGTGTTATAAAGGTGTCAGTCACTTGAAATGTGGTTGTGATTAGGACGCATTAATATGGATTAATAACAAGAGTGCCAAAAAAGAAAAGCATTTAGTTGCAGTTTTCTAAATTCCCTAATTTCTGGCAGACTGAAATGAGATGAACACTCTCCAGCCCGAAAGGTGGCGGTAATGCATCTTCTAGCTACGAGGAACATGCAGTCTACATTTGATAACAAAGAAAACCAGACTTGATTCAGCTTTTGTCAAACAGGAGTGTCAACATACACCAAATGGGCCTGCAGGTTAAACTGTTGTCGTGCACTATTTTCCCTACACAAACACGCACATGCCTCCAACCCACCCTGATTCGCACACACAGAGTCTTGCTGTGGACACGTGAGCTCCTTACCTGTGCACAGGAGTGTCAAGAGCATCTCTGCCTTTTTTTCCCCAGCCAACTACATTCCCGAAGTAAAATTTTCCTCACTCGCTTTGTTCCAGAGCGATTCAGGTTTAAGATCTGATTCTTTCTAGCCAATTATAAGAGACAAATCCCGATTGCTCAGGTCCGTTGAAGGGAGGGGTGGGGATTTTGTTTGGACGTGCACACCCTGCTTGCAGACATGCACAGATTGACCAGATTGCACCATTTGTAATGGAAAACATCCATCAGAGCAGTGACAAATTTAAACATCCATGATTGTAAATGCAGCCAACAAGCCTGCACAGCGCCCATGCAACTGCAGTCCTCTGTCCTCTGACCCTGACATGGTGTCTTTTTACTAGGGCCACTTGATGATGGGAAGAAAATCAGGATTATTTTGGTCAATACTGAAATTATGGATATTTGAAATGAATACTTGTTCAATTCAGGCAAATATGAAATCATCTTTTATAACTTTCTGTTGAAATTCCCTTAAAATAACTAAACAAATGTTCATAAAATGTTCAAACCAAGTAAAGACAGTAATGTAAATAAGTGGAAATAGATGTTCACATAAAATACAAATAATAAATGAAATTATAGGACAAAATGTAGAAGTACCAGTCGTGATGGTGCAATACCTGGTACAATAACTAATGCTACTTTTTATTTTATTTTATACTTAATTGAAATCGCACAATGCCAGAGAATCCTTTTTGATGTCTGTGTTTTGTCCCCTGTTATCCTAAGGAATGAGGGAAGGACGCATTTTGTCCGCAGAAGTCGATACACTGCACTGTGAGGGTGACTGTGGTTGTGTAGTTCGGCTGGACCATAATTCATCTGGTCACACTTTTAACCACTTCCTTACTGCATTGCATGTCCATGTCACAGCGCTTGTGCAAACTACAACACCCGCATGGGAGTTCCTGGAATATGTCGTTGTTGAGAGCATCTTTTATTGTTGGCTGATGCATTGAGATGGACGGAGTTTTCTTTCCCCCCCATCATCTGGTCATACAGATTGTTAAAGAGAATTGACTTTTCGCCAACAGTGCAGCCACCACCGAGTAGCAAATGCTGCATATAATGTGTTTTTGACCCAAGTCTGTGTCCAAAAAATGGATGTGTTCCCACACAAGGGATTTCCCAGACTTTCTCTTTGTTGCTGTACCTCTCTTACGTCAGAAATTTTTATTTGTCTTTGTTTATGTGATTGTTTTTACCCAAAATTAAAAAATATATATATTGCAATTGCTGGTAAACTACTATAATGAAAAGGATATTCATTTCAAAACGAACCAACCATTTTCCATTGTGGAGGACTAAAACTTTCATACTTTGTTTTGTCCTTAAACTCCATGTTTATTCTCATGTTTATCCCCTGTAGGTCTTGAATTTTTCACACTTTGTTCATATCTTCTAAATGAGGCTGGAATAGCTTCCCCATTTGTGGTTCATAGCCTTAGAGTTGACGTTGGGTTGTCTTGTGAGAAAGCTTTTGAAGTCAGGTGAAAATACTGCTGGGTGGATTATTTTCTTAATGGTCATTTTTTGTCTGACCTGTGTGTGCGCACAGCTTATGATGCTATGAAAAAATAATAAGTCTCCTCATTCTTTCTACTCGACATGTTCATGATAGATGAGGGAGACCCAAAGCCCCTCTGCCTGGGTTGTTTCAAAGACTGCCAGCCTCCTTAGTGCATCAGTCTGCTTCTGTACTGATCTCTGGTCTGGATTTGAGCCATCTTTCAGAAAAAGAGCCACAGTTTTATTTAAATTTCAAAAATTCCCCAAAAACTGCTGATGGAGCAGTTTGTAAAGGGAAAGAAGATTCCTGAAGAGACATTTTTTTTGGTTTTTGATCATTCAAAACTAGGATTGGATTGCACTAAAGTTTAACTGTATAAAGTTCTATTTATTTTAGTATTGTGCCAAATAACCTGCATCATTCTGGCCTAATGAATTTCCAAATAACCCCCCTTGTAGGTGATCTCCTGAAAATGAATGTTTTTATAATTTTTATAGCAAGTCCTTGTTGGGTTTGTGGAAAAACAGACAAATGCGGGAAATGGGAATGAAGCTGAGCTTTCATTGTTTCCACTCATGGTCTGTGAAGCAAATATCCTTCTCAGTGTTCCGTGGGTACCGAAGACCTTTTTGTGAAGCAGATGTGTGAGCAGCTGTTCATTTGGCACTTCGCACGTGGCCACTTTGAACTGCATGGAGTGTATCCCCAACAGATATTTCTGTGAACAAGTTTGGATCAATTGATTGGATCAATCCAGGTTTTATCCTGATTTTTTTTTTTTTTTATTGTAAAAATTGCTTTTTTTTTTTTTTGTTTGAGGCTAACTTGCTTCATGCAAAAACAAACAGATTGCTGTTTTAGAGCATGGTAGTTAAGATATTTCCCACTTTCAGGAACAGATGGTTCTCAAATCCAATTTTTTCTGATTAGGCTTTCCACACTTAAGTTTGGCGCTTGAGTTCCTTGTTTTTGCAGTATAACCATAAGTCAGAAGAAAGTTGCCTCTTTTTGAGTACACTGGACTACAAGAAAGGACTGGCAACGTGTTTGTGCAGTGGGGAGGGAACAAAAAAAGAAGACTAGGTCTGACAGCTACTATTGAAATGACAAATTGAATCATGTTTATTGTAATAGTATATTTCTGCTCTTCACTTCAGCCTCACCGTGCACACAGACAGTAATACTCACCTTGCTCCTACCCTTCGCTCGGAGCGGAGGGCCACACTTTCCGCCGCTGACCGCTCCCGAGGGACCCATTTCATATTCGGACCCGTGGCTGCAGTGACAGCTCTCCGCCTCGGCCAGATTGAGATTCAGGCGCGGATTGCTCTCCAGCAGCTCGCTATCGTAGCGTCCATCCTGGTCGGCCGCCATTGCCACAGCGGAGAGCCGTTCGCAGCACTCGCCCCTCACCTGGCCCTCCTGAGTCTTTTGAACAGACCGCAGGTGTCGGCCGTGAGGTCGCACGCCGCCGGCAAAAACTCTGCGCGCCCACGGACCCGTCCGCCGGCCGCCATGTATCAGCAGCACCCCCAGCAGCAGGGCTCGCAGCCCTTCCCTGCTCATCACCAGCCCCCTGCGAGCCAGCATCCCATTCGCTCCAACATGCAGCCCATGCGTTTCCCCTTCGCCCGTCCCACCCAACTTCCCGATGAGCTGGAGTCCGCTCTGGCCATCCGGGGCGCCAGGGACATGGACCACCGGCAGCTCGACCACATGAACCAGTCAAGCCAAGGGGCAGGATCTGGGATCGCCCCGCACGGAGGCTACGGCTCGAACCCGGCGGCCCTCCCTGCCGAGGGTCAGCCCGGCCAGCAGCAAGGAGTGGACTGGTCAAGCTACCAACCCCCGAGTAAGTTGTTTGCCGGTCCTCCAGCTAACGCCAGCCGTCAAGGGACGCGCCAGCAGCCCCAAACTCGGCAGGCGCACGCTGGCGGAGGCGGCGGAGAAAGTCAAAGTTTGTACACCCCCGAGAGCGCAGGGAGCATCTTGGCTAGCTTCGGACTTTCGAACGAAGACCTGGAAGTGCTCAGTCACTATCCTGATGATCAGTTGACTCCAGACACTTTGCCGTTTATCCTCCGGGACATTCAAATCAACAAGTCAGGCAGCCAGAAAACCGTGGCCTCCACGGCCTCGGCTTCATTTTCGCGCAGCATCCACGACATGTCAGCGGCTCCCTCGTGCGCTCCGCGCTCCCCCGAAGTACCCAGCCTCCTGACCGTCACGCAGACGGCAGGGAAAGTCATCGACTACGGCCATGCCAGTCGCGGAAAGGACGATTGCAGCCCGAGAGAGACTTTCGCACGAGAGCAGCTCTCCAGCGAACGGACAGTCAAAATGTACCCGGCGATGGCGGCTTCTAAAGCGGACGAAAGTGAAAGGCGGCAAGCTTGCTTAGAGCACAAGGAGCCCAGCAAACACGGGGACCGGGACTACCGCAGGACGAGCAGCGAGAAGCGCAAGGGCAGCCGGTCGCCCAGCAGAGAATTTCCTCGCTCGGCCAAATCACGGAATCTGGACAGAGACTATAGACACAAGGGTTCCAAACCACGGCCCTCCTCCGAAACCAGGAGCGAGGCTTCGTCGAGGCACTCTGTCTCCTCCTCGTCCGGCTCAAGACCACACGGCAGCAGCAAGAAGTTGCCAACTCCCACCATGATAAGCGATTTTGCTGCTGTCTCTCCAAAGGTGTATCCCCATACCTGCTCCCTGTGCAACATACAATGTGATGAAGAGAAGGTGAGTGTTCACAACAAGTATCTGTACAAATGTCCAACTCTTTTAGATTATTTTCTTTTATTTATTTTTTTAGACGAATACCCTAGTATGAGACCTTCTCACTAAGGCATGCCAAGGTATAATTCTTTGTTTAGTCTCCTAATTATAAAAAATCAGCGGTCAATTCTAACACAATATCTCTGAAAGCATCAACTTTTTAAGCTGATTAATCCACTTAATCAACACTCACGTTCACGTTGCTTTAATTGCCCTCAAACTGCGACACCTTGTCATGGCTAATGATTCACTGCAGACGGGTTAAGACGGAGTGAAAGTCCCAGCGTCTCTGTTCACGGCACGGCGACAATTCAATGTTTTCAACTTAAGCATCCACGATTCATTCCTTTACCTCTTCTCCTTAGTTTCACAGGTGGGTTAAAAGTCTAGAGGTGAATGCAGTCGAGACAACAAGCGCATCATAGAGTCACACCATGTTTCAAAGCACAGCTTAGCACAAGTCGGTTATTTAGTAATAACGGTTTTAAAAGAAATAATTCAGGTCAGCGAGATGGTGCATAAACTGTTAAGACGATGGCCCCTTTTAGTAAGCCTCTTTTCTACTGTAAATGCTCGCGTCATGATGCCGTGTTAAGATACATTTCTGGTTGCAGTTATGAGGGATGAGACAACACGCCGAGTGAAGAAATGTTGAAAACCTTTGCAGATTTATCTTGATTTGCTATAGATATGGTCAGCTCCAAAGCACTCCCTAGTTTTCAAAGAGAAATGATAGAACAGGTTTTGAAAAACAAAAATTATTTTGGTAAAGTTGTATTCACCGGCTGAGTTTTGCTTTTTTCTTCTCTGCTGTGTTTTGACCCTGATAGCCCACCGTTCGCTCCTCGTTGCACAATTCAAGAAGCTCTGCTTGTCTTCGGGTTGGTCAGAGGCAGTGTTACTCAACCCTCAGGACCCAAAGTCCGGCATGTTTTCCACGTTGTCCAGCTCAGACACACCTGATTCAGAGGAAAAGGATCAGCTCCTCAGCTCCGCAGAAGAATGAGCACCACATATTCATCTGAATCAGGTCTGCTGGAAGTTGGCAACGTGGAAAACATGCAGGGCTGTGGTCCCTGAGGACCAGGGTTGAGAAACACTGTTCAAAGGAACCAGGCGTTGAGCATTCCTTTTTTAGAAGCGTTGATCTAGGATTGGTTCGGTGATCAGGAGGCGCAATCCTCTGGTAAAATGAAATTTAAACAAAAACGGCTAAGTGAGACAGGAAAATCTCAGCAAATCCTTCTAAACTAAGTCAGATATTAAGATGGCAATTGGCATCTTAAATAGTTTGTGTTGCACTGATGTTTATATGTTTAATTTGTTATAAATAAAGAAAGGAAGCACTTTCACCAAAAAGTACATTTGATAGATTCAGAATGAAATAAAACATTTTCCACAGTATTACAAATGCTTTCATTTATGCTGTCGAATATATATATATATATATGTATTTGTGGTAATGCAGCTATAGTTTCAGGATTTGCAGAGGTTCCTTATCCAGTATGGTCTGTTTATTAGAATTGTATCATTTTTAAATTCACAACTGCGTGTGACTTTTCAACTTTTCAAACTAAAAAATGAAGCCAGTAGTAGACTTTTTGGAAAAAACATGTTGTTCAGTGAGAGGAGCATCAAAACCGCAGTGGCTTCTTTGGCTTGCATAATCTGATTGTCATATCTTAATCCTTAAAGTTATTTAAAGGTTTCTAAATCTGATTCATCTGGATAATTTACCTTTTGTTTATTTTGTTTTTCGAGAATATTTCTGTACATCATTAATTCTACACAGCAAAAGAAGCAAATTGTGTACCGTAAAAAATAATAGCATTATCAGTTTTGTTTGGTTTTTTATGTACAAATCTCCTGGTAGCTACTATTTTCCACAAGAAGAACATAGTCGTCAATGTTTTTTTCTGCATTGTGTTTAATGGTGAGGATTCTCATTCGCACAAAAGATGGTGGAAAGGGGCTGAACATTTAATCTGCCTTGCAAGGGCAAGACTGAGCATTATGTTGTATTCCTGCTGGTAGCTGTAGGATCCTTTGAACACAACTAACGGAGTGTTACAGTGTTAGGCTTCATCTTGGAGTTTAGGGGTTGTGAATAAAATTGGCACGGCGATCCACATCTTAGTACGCGCACAGCGAGTCTGACTCCGAGTTTTATTTAACCTTTTTTTTTTTTTCTTTAATCCCAGCCTTGATATGTGTGACCCAGTCTTTTTTTTTTTGTTGGTTTTAACCCAACGGTGTTTCCTCTCCTGTTTGTTTCTTTGTCTTCCTTTTTTTCTCACCTCCAGGACTGGGTTGACCATATTAACACAGTCGACCACACAGCTGCCTGCAGGGACCTGCGCAACAAGTGAGGACATTTTAACGGCGCATATGTTCAGTGTTGAAAAATATGCGTAGTTGATAAGTAACAAAGAATCATTTCCCTTTATTCTAACTTGATTTTTGTTTGTTTCTTTGCATGGTTGTTTGAAGGTATCCTGACTGGAGGCCCAATCCATCTAGGTCAGTTGCACAGGCATCAGAGGGTGTCGTCCCTGGTTTGGAGATCAGATTCGTTTTTTTATTTATTTTATTACTTAAAAAACTAAAAAATATTGTAAAATATTAAATGTGGAATTAACATTTTTGGAATATCTTTTTAAACACAATTTGCTTTGTCTCTAGCAGTTTATATTTAACCTGCAATGACAGTTGTTTTCTAAGACCTACGAGCTAATTTTCAACATTTCCAAGACTTTAAGAAGCTATGTAGCTGAGGCAGTGTAACAGTAACTTGAAAATTGGTTGTTCACACTGAGGTGATGTCATGGGTAACAGCCAAAGCACCTAGTGTTGTTTTTTGTTTTTTCCAGCCGGAGTGGACGATATGGCAGTCGGGCATCGTGGGATCCCAAGGATGGCTCCCCATTCCACTCCGCATCTCGATCCCTGTCTCGTTCCCCAAGCCCTCCGCAGGGCAGACACCGGGTGGACGTCCATCCCCACAGGCTTCACGGGAGGCCTTACACTCCCCACCACCATCCTCGCCCCTCCCACTACACAGGTAGACTTAATGCCAGGTTTTTGGCTACAGAGGGGTTCACCTTTGTAGGAGTTCAACTAATTTTCAGAAACAAACTTACAGCAACTGGATCCGACTCTTCGTGGATGTAATCCTTTAATAAATTTGGCTAAAATCATCCTATTAGCATCAAGCTATATTGAATATTAAAGAGTTAAGACCGCCAGATTTTAGAATTTCATTAATCTCCTTTTGATGTGTTTCATTCATTAAAGGCACACATTAGATACATTTACATAATATGCATGCACATCAGGGTACCTAACATGAATGATTTTGGATGGTAAGAGCAAGCTGGATTTGCTAGTAAAAGCTCACATATAGATACATGCGGGGAACATGCAAACTCCACACAAAAAGGACCTTGGAAACGATTTGAGCTGGAAACCCTCGGATGTGACTGTGTTAATTTCACCAGCCAGCACAATAATGTTCATATAAAAAACAAAAAAACGTATCATTACCACATCATTAAATGTGAACATAATTTCTCCAGTTATGACAAAGATTTGATGTTTTTTTTTCTTTTTCTTTCACTAAGACCGCAGTAATCGGTTTGCCCCCCACCACTCCAGCTCCTACCATTCGTACCGAATGCACTCATCCTCTAGAGAGCACTGGCCTGAGAGGAGGAGCAGGGAATCATCAGGTTAGTCATTAATTTTTTGGATATGGCTCAATGTAAGTTGTATGCGTATCTATTATAAAACGTGTGATCCATTTTTATGAAGGTGGTTTCTCAGGAAGGCCTTGAAAGAACTTAAAATCCCCCAAAACTGTTTTTTTTTCTTACGTATGAGGAGATTTCTGTGAAAGGGAAACTGGAAGACAGTCCAATATTCCCGCTGTGCTATGATTGGTCAACCCCAGTTGCCCTGATTAAACATTCCCCTGAACATTATGTTTCAGTATTTCTTTGGATTTAAGTGATGTATTGAGCAAGATAAATCATATAAACACCCTTTGTATGATTCCTTGATGGCGTTTTATTATACTTGTAATTCAGGGATAGGATTGTCTGTTTTTTTTTTTCATTTTTCACATGATTTTAGAGCATAGTCTGGATGTGTAGTGACAAAAACAACACCCACTGGTATTAAAACATGTGGTTTGGTTAAACACGGATAGCCCATCATTAAATCGTCAGTCTTCCTTCTTTTTGTCCCTCTTTTTTGCTTCTTTTATGTGCGGATTGCTCAGGGGATTTCTCTCGCAGCGGCGTGAAGCGTCCATATGGAGTTTTTTCCAGAAGTTCTGCCGATATAAGTCCATCCTCTACTGGGACAGGCCACAGCTCAAAACAAGGGCCAACGCATCCCTCCACTAAAAACACCAAGGGCACCGCAAAGCCTGCAGCTAAATCAACCAAGACGGCAAGTTTTCCGATTCACAATTATTTATCTATCTTGTTAAAAGTTATGAAACTTTCATTCACAACATCAGTTTAAGTTTTTATCATAATTTAACCAACTATAACTATATAAATATATGCAAATGTTTTATTTTTTTATAAATATAAAGTATGATAAAGGTTTAATTAAATGATTGATTGTAGATTTAATTTAAATTGTGTTCTCTTTGTCTACAGTCTGTTAAACCTCCACCAGCCAAGAAAAAGAAGAAAACTGTGAACTCAGACTCCAAGAGCTCAAGTATTGCAGACCGTCTGGTTTATCTGACGGGCATCCCGAAGGACGCCTCTGAACAGGAAGTCACAGATTTGGCCGGGTCTTTTGGCAAGATCAATAACGTGATCCTCATGCCGTGCTCTGAGGAGGAGACCGAGAAGGGCCAGGGGCAGAAGGTGCATTTTAACAGTTTTTAACAGTGATGCAGATGTTGAAGTCACGGTTTCAGTCGGTTGCCATGCGTGACTTTGCCGCCCTTACCTTTTTTCCAGGCTTCTGTTTGCATGGTGAGGGCTGAAGACGCACAAGCTCTGGCCCGCTCCTCAAACCTCCGCATCAGAGACCAGGAAATATCAGCCACAGTCTCCAAGGTATGTGCATGTCAGATTGTCTGTGGTTTTTCTGTTTTTACTGCCTCAAACACATCAAATATACTCGCTGTATTATCAGCATTTATCTGTCTGCAGTTGTGTATGAAAAACCCAAAGGGTCAACTTCTCAATGGAACAGATACGTCCGATTTTCCTTAAAACCAAAAAGAAAAAACACTTGGCATTGATACCAAGACCTGGTAGCAAAATTATTACTATATATTTTTAATTGGAGGGCCAGGCTTACCCCTAAGCTTTTTTTGTTGTTATTTCATTAAGTTCAGTTATACAAAACAACATGTGTGCTGAACTATAGATTTTAAACTGACCTATTGATAGTGATTGCCAACCATTACGTTTGAGAGTTTCTCTGAATTTGATCCTAATAATCAGTTTGCTTGTCTAAAACCTATTTCCCATATGCGCAGATTCTTTTCTTTTTAATCGGAATTGTCTGTTAAAGCTTTTCTCTGACAGTTTCTGACACCATTAAACCTAGTGACATTAGCACATCTCTGAAAACAGGTAGTAGTTCTCAGCTAACCGGAATGTCTAACAAAACAACATCCTTGACCCAAAGCTACAAACCAACAAAACTATTTTTTATCTTACTAATATGAAGCCTTTCAAGCTCTTTCTCTCTCTGCTTCACAAGAATATAAGTCTGTGGAGATTGATCATAAGAAGTACGACTGATTGTATGTAACAGACTCGGATAAACCAGCTCCCTCTCTTCACATTTTAACCATGCTGCGACACTAGATGGAGCTCTTAGCTCTCCACAGGAGGGACACCACTCACTTTGTGTGCGTCCTGATTCACGTCAAGCCCACATCAGCAGTCTTGAACACACAATGAGTCAGTGGCATTCCCCTAACTCTCAGATTGGATGATGCCGTTTCCATCTGTGAAGGTGAAAAAGCAGTTGATAGGAAAAACCCGTTCACTCCATTTGATGTGACAATAGTCAGCTGACCTGATTTGTAGGCCGCATAATGCTTAGGCACTGATCGCTGGTCGTAACACTGCCCCCTATGGACAAGCCATGATGAGTAAAACTGCCCAGGACTCTGGGCCAAAGGCAAAATAGATGTTATCTAGTCAACCAGTACATACCTATCCTGTTCCAGAGTCCAGTATTCATGCTCTTCACAAAATGTAAGAATTGGAAATAAAAACATGTCATTTAAAAATGTACTAATTTGATAGTTTGTGATGACACTTTATATATAGTAGAACTCTTTTAATGTTTTGAATTTGTAAAAGGGTTAAATGGTGTGACAGAGGGCTTAAAACGTCTGGGCAAAGTGAGGCCCCCAATTAAATGAACGCGCCTATGGATATTGACAATTTTGGCCCTACAGTAGTTTTTACATTGGGCAGAGGAGCTAGAGCAGGTATACTGTGTAGAGTTTCTTTCAGTACATATTGGAAGCTCCCTGCTTATCATTTTCTTTGCCATTCTAAAAAGGCAGTGAAATCATCTGGAGAAAAATGAGGTGCAGATTCACCAAGATAAAACTGAATATAATCAACAAAAAGTTAAAAGTTAGTTCTGGAGCACTGAAGTCGTCTCTCTGTAGATCAAGTATTTTCATGTTTATCTTCTGACAAACATGCTTCTTTTTTTATTCTTGCAGAAAGCTGAAGATGCCCCATGCTCTGATGTCAACAGGTTAGTCATAATTAGGATCGTAATAAGGTTTCGCTTTTCACTTTTGCATTCTCGACAACCACCCTGTGTACTGTAACACTAACCCGGCTCCTGGCACAACACTTCCTTTTCAGTAAACCGGCTGAAGAACAGGACACCAGCGTCACAGAGAAACTCTCTGGTAGGAAACTCCCTGTGTGGTAGAGTAAAGTGTCTGGTGTTTTCTGTATTTCTTTTCTGGGGCTATATTTGTAGTAACAATAGTGATAACAAAATAATGGTCCCAATCTTAACTTGCACTCAAAAAACTTATACAAATAATTAAACATTACAAGTTTACATGACTGTTGCAATGAATTATAGAAGTTTTTAGTAAGTTTTTCTCATTCTCTGCCTCCACTGTTAGTGGGTCAGTTTTTCTTTTCGGTTTCAATTGATAGAAACATGTTAACTTTACTGTAACTCCTTCCTTCCAGCAGGAACTGAGACTGACAAGACTGAGGATCAGGTATGTGATTCAATTACTCTTCTTTTTTTATGGCATCTTGACAGCTCAGTGGCATAAATTAACTCGTATGTTTCCAACAGAAGTGCAAGGTGTTGATCACAGGGCTTCCTGAGAGCGGTTGGTCAGAAAGTGACATCGTCCAGTTGCTCCAGCCTTATGGCAACCCCTCCGACCTCATCGTGGCAAAACACATTGGAAAGGTTTGTACACGCGCTTTGTGGCTGCCAGAGTAACACAAAGCAAGCAAGTGAAATATAAAGGGAATATAGAAATAAAGACCTCCTTAGAAATATAAATATAATCAGAAAAATCTGTGTTCCCCTGACATCTAAACTCTCCACTATATGAAGACCCTCTCAAGGGAACCTAAAGGATCCTTTAATGTTTTCCTGGTACAAGGCATTGTGGGGTATATTCAGATCTTCTCTGACAGATCAGAGCTCTTTTGGCAGGACGAGGAAAGAAGACTACGTTATAATAATGTTACGGCTGATCAGCACATTTCATATTACGACCCAGATTAAGTGGTCAACAAAATAAATGTGCACATAATACCTGAAACCCAAAGTTGTAACTCGGAATGTGCATTGATTCTACTTTCTCATTAAATAGTAAATGGAAAGGAATGCAGCTGTGCTGATTATAGCCTGTTTCTCTCCTTTATTTTTTTCGGTCATGATACCAGTGAAATATACTTAGTACATCAAAATTTTAATGAAAAGGCAGGGGCATTCTCTGACACTATTATATGAAACTCTTTCCCCAGGCCAGTGTCTATTATTTAACCCCCCCCCCCCTTTGTATTCATTGCGAAACACTTACAGAAAGCACATTATTACAGTTAACAGTGTTGGTGGGCCTTTTCTGAAGCTATCCTCTGATAACGAAGCCAGTTTTTTTGACCAGCCCTTATCCTGAAATGTTACGTTTAGATAACAAATGACAAATAGCTGGCATTTGATTGCGGTAAACTAACAAGCACCTTTTTTAAATCAGGCACTCGCGTCTCTCCCTGACACGGATGTCGCTGAAGAGTTGGTGAAAGTCAACAGCTTTAAGCCCGCGATCGTCAAGGATTCGGAAGTGAAAATCAGCCTTCTCAAACAGCAGATCAGCCTCAGCACGCCGGTAGGACTTCGTTTAGCTACTTAAATTAGTTTGGCTTATTTTATATTGTACAATGT